AATCCAGGAACCAACTGTAAGACGGGGATAATTGATGGTACGCCACCACGACCACCACGACCACCACGACCACCACTACCACTACCACTACCACCACTACCACGACCACCACGACCACCACTACCACTACCACTACCACCACTACCACTACCACCAACACCACCGCGGCCACGTCCACGCCCACGCCCACTGTGACCCGTACTGCCGCTGCCACTGCCGCTGCCTGGGTGCCTAAAGGGTGAGTAGGACGGGCTGCCGCCAGAGCCTGGATGTGGATGGTCGTAATGGGGGTTTGTGGTTAGATGCAGACTGTGCTCCGACTCTGCATCGTCGCCAAAGTCGACTTGCATGGCTTTCGGGGGCGGGGGGTCCGCGGGTTTGCAGTGGCTCTGCTACGGGGCTACCGGTACAATAGACACAGTCCAGGGCTCGTCACCATGCCGTGAATGTCCCGAGGTAGAGTCGCGGCCGCGTCGACAAATCAAAAGGGCAAAGGTGAGCGTCAAAAGGTCCCAGGACCAGGCAAGTACAGTGACACCTAGGCCGTAAAATCAGACGGTAGGGTAGGTGAGTATAGGTAGGCAGGTAGCGTAGATTACCGAACAAGGCTCGGGAGTGCGGATCCGCTGTCGCTGTCGCAAATAACAGCACGGGGTGGTGGTGGTGGTGGTGGTGGTGAGGGAGGGGACGAGGGTGAAGGTACGACGAGTGTTTTTGGGCCTCTTTTGTCGTCTTGCGCCCTTTTCCTCGAAACCTTTTTTTTTCTTTCCCTTATCCCAGCTTCCGCGTCGTTCCCTCCCAAAGCAACAGCAACAGCAACAGCAACGGCAGCAGCAGTGATTAGGCAGAGGTCGGTCGGGATTACCAATGACGCGTCGGGATCGCAGATTCCAAACTCTTTTGGCGTGACAGGAATTTGCCGTCGTTTGGCGGCTGCGCTGTTTTGGGCACATTTTGCACACTTGACCACTTCTCTCCCACTGAACAGGGAACAGCAGGGCTATTTTGGGACATGAGCCGCCATGCACACATACGACACACAATGGGACGAGTGCACACAAGAAGACAAACAGCTCAAGCGCTCTTGCAACACCCCTTGCACACCCATGTCCGCTGCCCCACTGCGAACGGACACCAACACTGCGTGTCGCCAGGCATTTTAAACCACCATGGCATCAGGCATTCACTCTGTCCTCTTCCACTGACGAGTCCCCATCCTGTCAACTTTCAAGCCTGACGAGTGTGTACCCCCATGCATGTCACGGATACATGCATTTGCATTTGCATTTGCCAGACAAGACGATTGTGTGCTGCCATGGCAGATGACCGTATCAAGACATTGGGACAAGGCTGGGGGGAGGGCATCTACTTACCTCGGTTGTACATTCTTAACCCCCGGGAATGGGCAAAGTGTGACGTTCACAAGCAAAACGGAGCCGCACTCGCACGATGCGGAGCTGCGACGACTCGACCTCTTTTGACGCCTTTTCATTCACCCCACCTGGATGATCGCACGCTCCGTTGGAAAAAGGACACATAGCTCTCGACAGCACATCCATCCGACACGACCACGTCCTTCCCTTTCACCCCACCTTCTTACCAGACACGAAGATACAGTCGACCGAACCGGACATGTCGAATACGCAGCAGAAAGCGCAGGCTCAGCTCGCGGAATCCACGGCGGCAGTGCCGCAGACAACAGCCGCCCAGCAGAGCGATAATGTTGCCCATGCGCTTGCTGGTGCCGGAGGAGGTCTACTGTCCATGGCCTTGACGTATGCCTCCCTTGATCCTCCATCGCAGCCACAACATGGCCTCACAACGCCCACAGATATCCCCTCATCACCCTCTCCACGCGCGCACAAGTCGAGTCCAAGCGCGCGCAGTCCTCTACTCTCGATGCCGCGCGTCGCATCATCAAGCGCGAGGGCATTGCAGGTCTGTACGCAGGTCTCGACTCGGCCCTCTTCGGAATCAGCGTGACCAACTTTGTGTATTACTACTGTACATCCTCCCCTCCGCCTGCCATGCACATACGCCCCATATTGATTCCAGCAAAGGGTATGAATGGACGCGCTCCTTCTTCGAGAAAGCCGCACGCAAAGCCGGCCGCGCCTCGTCCAAACTCACCACTGTGGAGTCGATGCTCGCCGGCGCCCTAGCCGGCAGCGCAACCGTCCTGATGACAAACCCCATCTGGGTCGTCAACACACGCATGACGACGCGCAAGTCGGAGGCCTCGGAAGACACACTGCCTGACGTGGCGACCTCCAAGCCCACCAAAGCGCCCTCGACGCTGGCCACGCTCTTCGCTCTGATCCGCGACGAGGGCCCAGCGCGTCTCTTTGCAGGCGTCATGCCCGCCCTCGTGCTCGTCATCAATCCCATCCTGCAATACACCGTCTTTGAGCAGATGAAGCAGTTCCTCGAGAAGAAGAGGCGCGTCACACCCACCGATGCCTTTTACCTCGGTGCCGTGGGCAAGTTGCTCGCAACCAGCATCACCTACCCGTATATTACGGTCAAGAGCAGGATGCACGTTGCCGGTCGTGACGGGCCGCGTGAGGACATGTTGACGACCTTTAGGCGGATCATCAGGGAGGAGGGATACAAGGGCCTGTATGGCGGTACGTCTTTCTCTTTTCTATTGTCACCGTGTTTTCTAGGGCTGGGATTGCTGACGCGAAACGCAACTTCAGGTATTGGACCCAAGGTCACACAAAGCGTCATCACAGCCGCGTTTCTGTTCGCCTTCAAAGACGCTCTGTATGCGTATACCGTCCAGGCCCGCAGGAAGCTCGCAGCGAAGAGGTTGTAGAGCCAAGGGAGCAGACTGCCTATGGTTGGGTGTACTGCCTGTGCTAGAACAGAACAAGTACACGAAGAGGGAGCATGTGCCCCATCCCAGCGTGTCTGCATCACACCGACGAGTGCATGGATGGCAAGGTGTATGAGTGGCAAGACGGGCTCGATTGATCAGGGGCATCATTGGCGTAAACTCCATGTTAGACTGGGCAAAAGGTGCAGTATCAAGCAGTCTACAGGTACACGTCAACCACGTTGTTTGGGCCATGAGAATCATCACATCTGCTCCTCTTTCGTGACTGAGGATTTTGATCATCTTACAAAACTAAAGGGCCACACCAGCCAAGGAGTGAGACTGCCACCACGAATACAACAGTCTACACGCAGTGGGGAAACTCAAGTCAGTAATCCCTGCGTGAAGTCCTCGAGGGCAGCACGATACTGCTGGCTGTACTCTATGGCGATTTGCTGCTGATACCAACTGTGCCTTGCATTGTGGTCCGCCACGAGATTATGCGCCAATTCGTGGCAATAGGTGAAGAACCAGCTGTCGAGAGCCCTCAGCTTGCCCTGCTTGGTTGCACATCCCTCACTGTGCAAGGCCATAAACCAAGCCAAGTTGAAGAAGAGGGTGCCGCTCATATTGAAAGCGACTGTGTTTGACTTGCGGTCGAGAAAGATGCAGACGGCAGCCGGGTTGACTGCAAAGACAGTGGTGAGGCCAAAGATAAGTGGCAGAAAGGCTGACAACGGACTGGCAAGCTCAGCACGAGGCGCACTCTCATCGCGGCCATAGTAAACGTCAATCTGTCGGCCAGCAAAAGGCACAGCGAATGCCTTGTGCAGGTTTTCCCACTGCTCTCCATTGCAGTAACCGCCCTTGTCCAACTCGGTCGGATCCTGATGATGCCTTGTATTGATATTGGCCATGCCTGTTGGCCGACATTCCTTGATGGCATTTTGTATGTTGGACCTGGTGGCTTGAATATCGCGACTGATCTGAGGGCCATCAGTACCAGCAAACGGTTGTTCCGCTGCAGTCTTGAACCCAAGCTTTTTGGCCCAGTTGTTGATCAGTCCCTTGTCTGCCAATCGACGGCCATGCTCTGCAACTTCCATGCCCGCTTCGGGACTACCAAAAGAGCCTGGCATCTGAACTGGCTTTTCGGGTGTTTGTGGTGGAACATTTTCAGTCTCTGGAGCGCATGCAAGGCCAGACTTGTTTTGCTCCATGATACGCTGCTGTTCCTCTTCTTCACGTTCTTGCTCGACTTGTCGCGCAATACGAGCCTCGTGTTCTTTTCGGCGCAAAATGCGCTCGACATTGATACCCTTTTGCTGCAATCGGCGTAGAGGCTCAGTCAAAATGCGTTCGAGCGCAATCGCATCGTTGCGCTTTGGACGCGTGACTAGAAGCCTGACAAGTTCGCTTGAAACGTCGTAGAGATCATACTTGTTAGTGATGCTCAAGACATAGCCTGTACCACGCACTTTGACAATAGCCGCAGATCGCTTTACTGACGTTGCCACGTTGCGCTCCACAAGCGAGTACCGAATAGATATGTCGGACACGCACTGCACCGTCAAATTTGATCCAAGCCACTTGACGTCGTGCCTGATGGCTTTGGAGGACGCATCGCGCTCATACTCGTGCAAAAAGAGCCTCGCACGTTCCAAGATACCCCTACGCAAATCCTGTGCAGGTGTCTGGTCGCGAGCAGGCGTGCCGATGCGCTGATCCGTCTTCACAAGCTCAGAAACCTTTTGTACGCCAAAGCGGGCATAAAATTCTTCGACCAACTCTTCTTGAGGTGCGGCAATGATAAAGTCGCGAAAGCGGGTCATGTACTGGACATTATCAATGATGACAATCTCGCTGGGTTTGTTCAGAGACCATTCGCGATGCATGTTTGGCTCGTCGAGATCATCTAGATCCTCACCATCGGCTTCCTCCTTTTTCACATCTTCCTTGATATCCCGGTATCCGAGCAGCATTCTAGAATTGATCAATGTCTTGACCAAGTCTTTGTCTTTCCAAAGGTTTGCGGCGTGCTCTGCTAGCTTCCTTAACAAGTCGAGATACTTTTCCTGACCAATGGTGTTGAGGAAACGAGTCGGGTTCTTGGCAAGAAGAGACGCGAGATCATGAGTGCTGGGCTCGTGTTTTGCACCAGCCTTCAGCAAGAATGCTGTCGCCTCGGCGCTATACTGTACATAGTCGAGTATGCCACGATACTCTTGGTCTCTACCGACGAACACATGTTCGGGTGGGTCGTAGTGGTGGATCCGCATTTCTGTCTTCCCAGTCTGATGTCTCGTGCGATCCTCGAACCCACTACAAGAGGGGTCCAGATAGTACTTACGAAAGATTGGAACAATATTGGCAGTCGCGAGGTTCGCAATGAGACCCTTGTACTGGTACGGGGGAAGAGGTGATGGAGGTTCAGAGGCCGTTCCTTGA